GATAGCCGTGTGGCATTCGCATAAAGATCTTCTCATTGATGGGGGCATGCATAAAGGCGTTGACAACGTCGTACTGGATCATCTCGAGGTCAAACTTGGCCGCCAGGGCTATCAAGGTTCTGAACGATCTTCCAACAAGAGTAGCTGCATACGTTTGCTCCGAATGCAGCCCCTTCTGTTGATCTCCTCTGACCACAAGACGTGCCTTGCACTTGATGAACCTCCCATGCTTATCAAACTTGTAGACATACACCCATATGCAGTCCAAGATTTGATACCCTCGTATAGATGAGTCTTTCTTTTGGATCTCAGTCCATGATCTCATGCCGTCATGACTTTTTAGGTGATCCTTTTCGGCTATTTTGAATAAGTGCCTTATTAAATAGGTTGCTAGTTTATCACGCCATTGTAGCGCTTCTTCCAGAAGTCGCCTGTGCAATTTGAATCCATTTCGTAAGGCTCTCTTAATGCTTGCCCGATCTAGGGTGTTTTTACCTGATCGTTCTATGGGCAAAGCCTTAAGGCCTGCTAGAAACGCCGCTTTCCAAGGCTCGAGCTCTTTTTGTCCTGGGTCTTGGAGAGGATTTTTGGGTTCCTCATTCCCCTTCTGAATACTATGGCATAGCAGGGTGGACAGAGGACTAGGCAGTGGTAAAGGCAATAGGGCAAATTTTGCCGTGGTATATGGGTACTCATTCCCAATACCCATATCTATTTCCTCTTCGTCCTCTTAGACTTGTATCCCTGTCGGGATCACCGGGCCTCCTGCACTTCCATCCTCTACCCCTGTCAGGGGAGGATATTGGTCTGCTTGCAGTTCATCAAGATTTTCTTCCTCGTCCTGGACATAGTCGTCGGACTTGGATAGAACGTACTTGTTGACCATGGCCTGTATCTCTTTAATAGTTGCTGTCTTCAAGTCATCTTGAAACCGCTCTTCATCCCTATCAAATACCTTGTTCTCATTAAAGCGACATCTCTTGTACTTATCACCTTTTTTAGGTGAGGCACCCACACACGGTAGATATTGGAGGACCGATATCCAACCAAGTATCTAATCCATGTTTTGAGACTGAGTCTGTCTAGCCTTCAGCAACCCAACTTTATGTTGATTATCATTGCGTAGACTTTGCAGCCATACACCCGGAGATGTCTCTAATTGGGGCGCTTGTCTGGGGCCATTGGTCGACCTGTCTTCCTCATGACTGCTTTAAAGAAGACATCAAAAGGGGTTTTTTACCCATTCTTTCTTTTTAGTATCTGATTATAGAGATATGTAGCCGCTTTAAGTATTTCTGGCCATAGGAAGGTCGGCAATCTAGCACCGATTCGCATTGTGCGCGCTTTCGTTTTCAGTACACCCCCTGGGCGCTCAGCACCTCCGTTTTTGGGCTTGTGTATTGGGAGCCGAGAGCTCTACCTTGATCGTGGGGGCTTCTAGCCATCTTGCTATATCTGGTTTGTTAATGTATATCTTATTGTCTGTTTCAATTACCTTGACTTTGATGTCGTATTGGCGTTGATACCACACGGATGATTGTTAGCGTAGTTCGATTCTCGAGAGCATAGTCCCATAAGCTACCAGAGTTTCTACATGTGAAGACCATGTGAGATGACTCGTCTGATAGGGACCTCTCGTAATGATGGAAGTCGAGAGCTAATCTTTCTCCTGGATCTTTGTGATTAGATTGTGGTGCTCTCTGTATATGCTGTCTGGCCTTGGACATTGCGCATGACTCGCATTCTACTCCTGTTGGTCCTCGGATGACCACCCCCTGAGATGCGCGCACTAGGTGTTTCAAAGCTTCTGGGCTAGGATGTCCTAGTCGTTGATGCCATAGCCACATGTTTCCAGTGAGGGGAGATCTTCTGGACCATGAGTTGTGTAGATGCTTCTTGCTTCGTTGTGCGGTGTGAAATATAGCATTCGGATCGTTCGGTTGGTAGTCGATGACATATTGGCCGTACATGTCCTTGATATGGCCGACCAAGGTATTGTCTCTTCTTTTGAGACTGGTCTGCCTTTCTTTATTATCCCACTAATATCCTCCCTGTCTGAGTTCTCATAGGGATACGAGAGTGGTGAGGAGTGAGGGACAGTAGGCCGTATTTAGAAAGTTGATAATCGTGCTTCCAATGCGTACTTGCATCTCACTGTACGCTTAGATGGGTAGGGGGCGGTCTCCTGATCATATAAAATCCCCTGGTAGCGCAGGCCTCTAGCTAGTTAGACGCCATGCTTGGTTTGTGATCGTGATGGTGCTTCCATTGTCTAAAATGACTGAATAGGCTAGTGGATAGTTGTCTGATTTGACAGCTGTGAAAGCTGATGGCACCTTGCCCATTGTTCTGCCATAGAGTCAATCTTGAATCTCTTCAGGCTCTTCTCCTTTAGGTTGAGGAGTCCTTGTATTTGATTTTGAGTTATTCCGTTTTAAGGCGCGGACTTGAGCTTGTAGTTCTAGATCTTCTAAGGCGTGGGTTGTCTTCTTGACGAGATAGTCCCTAGGTCGGAAGCCTTTCCATGTCTTCTCCGGAAAGACATAGAAACAATTCGACAATGCATGTTCCATTCCACACGCTGGACATTCGGAATGGTCCTCATCCCTACTTCTCTCGTTCCTCAGTCAGCGTTTGGTCTGTTTTCTTCCAGGCTTTTTGTTTCCGGCTTTCTGTTCTTCTTTGCCAGAGCCCTTGCAGTTATAGGTAGACCCAAATGCACCTTTAGAGGCTTGTCCAGCTTTATTGGTGGTCTGTGAAATAGCCCTTATGAAGTCGTTGATAAGATCTCAATATTTGAGAATCCTGTGCCGGATTTGTTCATCCATAGTAACTGCATAAGTGCTTGACCACATGGGAAATGCTTTGGATACTGTGTCAAGGAAGTCTTCGGCCCATGAGCTCACATTGAGCGTCTCGGGAACTTCCTTCTGATGGGCCTTTGTAAAGGCGATCTTCTAAGAGGCAATCCATCTTGCTACGTTCTTGGGATTTCTGAGGGGTTGGAGTGCTGTCTTGTAGAGTTGTCTTGCATCCTCCTGCTCATCTGTACTAGCCATTCTGCACTGGGCTTGGAGATTTGCGTACCACTCCCAGATTGGTTGTTTTGGAATGCAGCAGGTGGTCTTGTAATGGTTTGCAATAAATTTGAGTATATGGTTCTTAATTTTCTCTAAAGACAGTGCTTGCTTCTTGTGCAGTTTCTAGATTTGATCGTAGAAGCTATTGTTGAGTTCATAGGTTTGTTTCCCTGTTGTCGTTAGATCTGATAGCATCCATACGCCATTATTTTGCTTGTGTTGGATGATTTCGTCGTCTTCGTTTCTGTCATTTGGATTGGGATTAATTTTGATAGTTTGATTTGGTTTGAGAGTCGTTTGTTTCTTCTCGTATTTCTTTCATGCAATATTCGGAATTTCTGGTTGTGGTATAATTCCCTTCTTCTGAATGAGGAGGTCAAGAAGACCTAGGGCGTCTGCCTTCAGTTGGAACTCATGGTCCCATTCGGGCCATTCTCTTGCTTCCGATAGTGATGCTGAGAAGTCTGCTTTCTTAGACTCTTAAAGGGTTAAAAGGACAGGCATTTTAGATATATAGGATAGATAAGGTTTGTCAAAGGGATCAATGATGAGACTCTTAATTGTTAGATTTGAGCCAATTGTGAGGTTAAAGTGTATGTGTGTATTCTGTGTCCTTGAAGTGTCCCTGTGCGACCGTGGCAGCTTTTTGCCAGAGGGGGCTGGATCGGGACGGAACAGCTAGGTTCCGTTGTCTAACTGTCAAGGTGCTCTCTAGGCCTACCTTTAATCCAACAGGGGCAGTGTTTAGCAGAGCGCTTTAGTTACTAAAAGGGTGCAAGAAAGTTTTGGCAAATGACGTCCCCTTTAAAATGCGAATCTTAGGCGGCTCTGAATCCCGTCCCTTCTCCCTAGTACGTGAACAGCTTTAGACCTTCCAATTTAGGAAGTCCCCAACTTACAGTTTAGAGCTATCAATAGAGTCATCTGCTCCTACTCGTCATTACATCTAGTAAAAAACAAAGATCTGATCCCTTTTCGATCGGATGTGGGGCAGGGATGTATACCCCTGCGTATTCCTTGCTCAGCCTGTGGGTGTGATCTGACCATCCATACTATGAGTCGATTCCATACATAAATGGTGTCACACTGTGTGCCCCAGTCTTTGATGTTTCACTGAGTTGCTCCTTCGGCTATCGGTATGCACGTCAACACCCGCTTGTGGGTGGGCAACTTATATGCCCTGTAAACAGTCCCCCCGTTTCTTGGTTATCTGTCAGAGCAGACGTAGCTTCGGAGCCGCCGTGAGCGTTTCTCGGGATATCGCACTCCGTGTCGATATACCGCAAGGACAAGGGGCGAGTTCTTTTTCTGACGACCTGCCCCATGAGATACCCAGCCCTTAGCGTTTTCGTCATCTTCAAATCCTTACACTACTGGCCCGCCTCCCCAGAATTTCCATCTGCCGATCAGCCTGGGGGAGCTCATCACCCCAGAAGATTGCCAAAATTTCCGTAGCGGTACGCGCCAAAGACCGAAATACCCGGAAGTAGGCAGTAACCTAGAGAAGAAGGCAGGGAAGGTAAACGAACAATGAGCAGCGATGGACGCAAAAGCAAGCGCTAGTAGGATTCGAATCTACTACCGTATACGTGTCTTGTGTGTCGTGCCGTGCTACATCTCAGTTCCTTCAATGACCGAATCGGGAAGGTTAGTTTTGTTAATAGATCTTGCGATTGTAGAGCCATGACACCATCACCACAAGTCGTAGAGGCAGGTCGTGCCTGCTATCGGTGGAAGCTACCACAGGCGATGATGAACGTAACATAAATAGGCCTCAATAATTCCGGATGAAGACATTTTCTTCTTCCCTCTACACACACACGCACACACACAAACAGCACAGCTTCCCTACATCTAAAGCCATCTTCCTCCCAAGACAACACAACCCCACCAATCAAATCACCCTAAACGACGCTCACCATGAAGTTCACTTCCGCCCTCGCCATCATCAGCTTGGCAGCCCCCGCCGCTCTAGCATCGCCCGCCCTCCGGGGCGACGGCAGCACCAGGGGATCCTTCGTCGCACGAGACGGCCAGGGCGCGGCTGACCACGCCAAAGCGGAGGCCATCGTGGAGGCGCTGCAAAAGGAGTACGGCAGCGACGTGTCAGACTGGGTAAGCAATTCTATCTTTTCCAACGAGCGAGCCGGACTGCCCTTAACTAACCACTCGCTGCGCAGGAGGACAACAAATTCCACACCCGCGACATGGCCCCCGCAACGGTCCAGCCCCGTGGCTTTATGACTAACTTCGCCTGCGGTGTGATCTGCACGAACGATGGGCTCAAGGTCGATTCGGACGCGTGGAAAGCGTGCGTTCGGAAGTGCGTTGCTGGTAAGGGCTAAGATCGAAGTGGCAGAGGCCTAGGACATCTGTATAGGATGTCATTGTGTACCGCGTACGGCTTCCGGTTGCATTTTGTCTGCTGAGTTCACGCGATAACGTTATAGAATTGTACGATTAGACGGAGGGGACGGGGCAAGGATGGCATTCATTATAGACTATAGTACTCTACGTACATCACATTCACTTTACAAGCTATCTACGCTGGAACGAGTATACCTGATCCACGAAAGTGCCGCTGTAACCTTCCTCCGACTGAAGCGATTGTGAGGCTGAGTTGATGTGTGTTGGACCATTGAAGTGATGGATGAGATTCAGTCGTCAGCGAGTGCAGCGACCAACTGCCTCAGGCTAGTCACCGCTGGAGCAACTGCTCAACCGCTGCCGATTCCATTATATACCGTTCCGACTTGATTATGGCGGGGAGATCGCAATATCCGCAGGCTATGGTAATGCTTCCCCACCTACGGTGGAGGTACTTTCTGTCTCCTTGCGCGATTTGTACTGTTAGAGGTCAGTGCAAATGACAGTCCCGAGTCTCCAAGATCAGGCCGGTCTGTCATCCCACAACTGCCCCTTCGTAGGCAACCTCCAGGCTGGCATCTCCAAGACAACAGCGGAGGGCACGTCCTATTGTTAGCTTCTTCAGGGGTAAAGGAGTATTCCCTCCAATGACTCATCCATCCGCTGAAGATGTATATGTCTCCAGAGTAAAGGCTCTGAGTCGAGGCGTCAACGTCAAATCCTCGAAACTGTCGAAGTATACCTCAACTATGAATCCAGCAAGCTCAGTTTCACATTCGCGGTGAATCTCACATTGGACCACCCACTTTAACAATAGAATGATGATAACCTGACACGATGCCTGTCAAGTGAAAGATTGCGGCGTTGTCCAAGACTCAGGTGAATTGTTGTAGGTGCTGTAGGTACCAATATGTAATGATAACCTGGTCCTCGCTACATGCCGTCATTTCCTCCCATTCCCAGCCACGTAGAGCTATCATACTGTAAGGCATCGTCCGAGGCCACCAAGGCGCCACCTCACCAAGAGGCTGGTCAGATGGAGGGTGCGTTGTGGATGAGGTCGAACGACTCTGTCTTGAGATAATGCATTGTAGAGATGGCTTGCAACGGTACGACATGCAGAAACGTGTAGGCTCCTGTATGATGATGTCGGGAGAGGCGCATGACAAGCCGTGCTAGCAGCTTGCTGAATATATCGACCCGGCCCCTCCTGGGACCGATAGCGTGTCGACGTCGCCATGGGATGTGTGGTAGACATTATGCTTGACACGAGATTGAGATCACATCGTCGAAGAAAGACCTGTGCGGGAGGAATGGTGGGAATCGTGAGTTGGGAGCATCTGAAAGACATCCCCACGAGGCTGTACGTTGCCGGTTATTCCACTTCTCCAACCCACGCTGAATAGGCAGGAAAGGGGCTGAGCCCGATGTGGTCACAGCAGAGAACAATGGTGATATATCATTGGTCACTGCTGATGCGCAGTCAACATCGTTGATAGTCCTATGATAAGTAGTAGTAAGGCAGTCTGAAGAACTCTTCCAAGTCAGTGGGAGTGAGGCAGGTTAGCCATGCAGATGAAGCAGATGTAGTCGTAGCTGTGGGCAAATCAATTCGCGACACCATATGTGGGTACCCCTCGACTTATGTGCCCAGGTGGGCCCTCAATCGCATCTATTTTCTCTAGTTGTCTTACTCATGAGCACACCTACGGGTTCGTCTTGCCTTCTCCCGCCTCGGAGCCGACTGCCGGCTATTGAGCCGTCGTGCTCTCCTCCTTCGGGCCGTAGACCCAACTTTCCAGGTTCTTAAAGGCCGTTTCCAATTCATTGTTTTCGATGACCGTGTCGAAATGCTTATACTTGCCGTCGTCGAGGGCGATGCCGTAGGTAATCTCCGACAAGGCCCGATCAAGCCGCTTCTTGATCTGCTCCTCCGACTCTGAAGCGCGACCGCGCAGGCGCTTCTCAAGCGTCCGGCGCATCCTGTCCTCCTCGGGCTCATCGGCTTTTTCTGAAGGTGTCGACGGCGGCTTGATAAAGACGTAGCGCGCGTTGAAGTGCGACTCCTTTACCTGCTTGACACCTTCTATGTCTATATCTAGCACGATAATCTTGTCATCCTTGTTGACGGCTGGGCGGGTAGCCTCTCTGCTGGTACCGTACAGGTTACCGCCAAACTCCGCACTGTCAGCCGGTTAGTACCATTGTCAATGTCGCTGATTCTGGTATAACGTGCTGTTCTATGAATGCATCCTGGTCAATGAGCTGCTTGAATTCTTCCCTCGTGACATAGTGATAGTGTACGCCCCTGACCTCTCCTGTTCGGGGCGCTCGAGTCGTATGCGATATCGAGAGAGAGAATGTGTTCGGGTGTCTGTCGCGGAGCATTGTCCAAAGTGTGCCTTTACCGACGCCGCTGGGTCCGGCGATGACGATGGGCCGGCGGTCGGTAGGTTTGTCCATTTTGGCTTCGGGGGAGTGGACTGAGGCCGAGTGGGTACGGCAGTCGGTGTTGAGGCTCGCGGCTTTGTCTCGCGATAGATGGAGAGATCGGATGTCTGCAAGCCGTGGAGCAGTCGAGTGCGTCGCAGGACGTGCAGGAAACGTTAGCGAGCCGTAGAAGCGAAAGTAGGTCGCCTGCTCGACTGCTTGCAAGTTGTAGCGGAGAATGCGCCGTCCGATGCCGTGGTACGCCAGCTTGAAGGAGGATAAATAGACCAGGACTTCAAGATGGCAGGTTTGGTGGAGCGAATCTAGATCTCGAAAAATAATAAAGGGGAACTACAATTGACTCCACTAAGTCTCACTACCTTAACCTCAGGGGCGGCGGGGTAGAGGGGTGGAGAGGAGGGGTATATGTAGACCCTGGACAAGAAAGAGCCACGTGACTGTCATTGTCAACATCACCCTTCTCCATTCTGCTGCACCTTCTTGACGTTGTCATGAACGAGGGAATCATAAACCGGAGTACATTTTGTACATAGGGGACTCATTCATGAGAGCCCTAGTGCTATGCCCACTTCTCGCCATTCCGCCATATCCCGGCCCGCCGCATCAATGAAAAGCCAGTCGAGTGTTTGATAGTCAGCTCCAAGACAATGACGATACTCTGAACTCTGTTCAATCAAAATCCTCCCTTACCGGACTGAGAGCTGAGGTGTTTATACACTCCCGCCCCTCCTACGTGTGTTCAACTCGGTTTTGCAACTGTACAATTCATCACAAACGACACGAGACCTTTTCATTGCAAATACCACCCATTACAGCTCCTGCCACACGACCAAGCTGCCAGTCCTCCAGGGCATGATTCGCTTCATTATTTCACTCAGAATCGAAGGAGGGAGAACGCGATTATGTACTCTTGGTCAAGGCCCATTTCTGCCTACATGTACGTATCTGCCAGAACATGAAGTACGAAAGTCTTTGATCTGTGCTACGAAACCTCAGAGCCAATTCTGAAGAGCATGTATGCAGCAAAGCACCAACCATCCGAGACATACAGTTTACTGTAAATGCCCAGCTGTTAGCCCTACAGCCGTCCATCAGCCAATTCGTTCGTTCACCACCAGTTCGTTCCGTTGCCCAATCACCCTTTGCTCAAAGGACTGGCGACGTCCTCAGTTCCAGTCGGGCTCGTGGTGCTTCCAGTAATCCTGCTTCTTCTTGACCGCCTCCTTGATCTTCTCGTTCTCCTCCATCTCCAGTCCGGTCTTGGGTCCCGACGTAGGGTTTCGCAGAGAATCGACGAACTTGTTGTCAATAAGAAACTTGACGGTGTCGTTCTTGAGACGGGTTTTCTCGTCGATATCCAGGGCGCCACCGGTGAGCTGGTTCAGCTGGCCTCGGAAGTCTGGGGTCTGTCGAACGTGGCACTTCTGAGTCGCCTCGGTGTGCTGCACCAACGCTGTGGCAGACTTGAACACATTATTGCACGTGGTGCATGTGATCTCTGTTTCGGAATGAGCCTCGGATTTGAGATGTGTGATGAGTCCACGGCCTGACTTGATCTTGGTCCTAGAATGAGTCAGTACAACAACCTGCAATCGCCCCGTCGTAGTGATTGTCACTTACTTGCATCCGTGCGGGCACTTGAACGTGTGGAGGATAGGGTCCTCGAAGACTGCGGCGTTGAAGCCGGGATCGTCGGGATCCGTGATTCTCTGACTAGTAGGACGAAGACCAGTAGGACGAGCAGGCTGTACTCTGGTGTTGCCCGAGAACGCAGATGGGGGCGGGACAGCACCATAGGCTTTCGGGAAGAGGACCTTGTTCTGTCCCCAAGCGTTGGCTGACGTCTGCTCGTAGGTATCTGTACCCGCACCAGTAAGCAAGTCCGGCTGCTTGGACTGGTTGGAGCCACCCAAAGGCGGGAACTCCGGACCACTCGGGGTATAGCCATCTTCCTCAATCTTGGGGAACTGTCCAGGGCGAAAGTAAACTTTGTTCACGTTCGGCATGATGTTGGGTCGGTGGGTCGCGGTGTGGACGCTGGAGCGGGCCGTTGTGGATGAGGCCCCGGCGGGTGCCCAGGTATCGTTCTTGTACGCATTGTACGCGGCAAAATCGACCTGGGAAGCATTCTGGAACTCCAAGGCCTGGCCCATTTTCAGCATCTTGTCACGCAATCTTGCGACGTCCTTGGAAGGGATCCGAGGACACAAGTTGTTCTCGACGTGTGCGATCCAGCCTCCAGCACGAGTGAAAGTCTTGTGGCAGCCGGGACAGTTGAGCTCCTGATCAGCTCGATGATCCTGTACTGAATGTCAGATCTGTGTGTGGAAGCACTACCATTCAATGCAGCAACGTGCCTCCTTCATGTGAGCTACCAGACTTCCCGGATCAAAGTACGTATTGTTGCATTGATCGCAAGCAAAGTGGCCCTTTTCCTTCTGGTGTTTGTCCAACAGCTGGAGCGTGTCGAAGAGAACGTTGCACTTGGAGCATCTTCGCGAGAGGGGCACAGGAGCATCCTCGAAGCTCATGGTGCTCATCCTGCTGCTCATGTTGTCGGCCATGATGGACAGACAAGAGAAGGTGGATGCGTTGGGTTGATAGGTGGCTTTACTGGCCAGCAGTCTGAGAGTGCGAGGGAGTCGAGTGCAACACCGAAAACCTCCGGGCGTTGACCGAAGAGGATGAGGGTTGGGTGGGGAGAAAAGAGCGCGTCGAGGGTGGAGGAGGAAGGTGGGAGTGGTTACCTAAATACCTAGGCGACTTCCCAAGCAAGAGGAACATGCCTGAGCAACAACGCCAGGCCGCCGTGACTTCCAGTTGCCCAGGTGTTGGCTCCTCAGAAACGGACTTACCTAAAATGTGTACTGCATATTCATTCTTGCTTTAGTACAGGCACACCATAACAATACAAAGAAGGACCTGGTGTGGTGTAGGCGACAGTTTGTTGTTGTAGATACCGGGTTATTGCGCCATCTGCACAGCTGGCTGCATGCTCTGCATCAGCTCTTTGACAGTGTCAACTGCAGCTCTTTGGATGCTCCCACTCCGGAATATCAAGGTATACAGGTAGGCAGGCGGGCACACGCATCATTCGGGGGACTGGAGGGACTTGGGCAATGCAACATGACACCCCTGCCTTACCACATTGAACAGTTCATAGTCAATCAGAGACGGTAGCTTGTCCAGCTGGGACCAGTCAAAGGTTTTGCGTACTTAAGTAATCGGGCCATGATGCAAAGGTAGATAGATATTGGATGGGGTTCATTCTCATCCAGGAGTTAATAAAGGGGGGGGGATACTCGGGATCACATGTAAGCGCGAGATCCCCGGCCACAGTGTCACTTCCAACCGCCGTTCATTGGGCCTCAAAGGTTGCGCACGCCCAGTACACCAAGTCCACGCACTTAGTGACGTTGCCTTCGTTAAATCCAGACCCCTATTTCCCTTATCGGATCTTATCGGACGCGAATAAGTGATTCGCACCCCGGAATCACCATCTGAGATTAGCTGAGATAAGCACTACGTCAGTGCACCTTGCCCCATGTGACATGTCTTTCATTGTCGGCATCCCGAGTCAACCTGACAATCTGGCTTCATGATACCTCAAGGAATCGAACGCATATCTGTAACACCAAATTTTCTGATGCATCACGCTGCGTCAACTCCCGTGATAATCAGTCTTATTTCTTTCTCTGATATATCCAGTCACCATTCTACTCTGGGCAACCTTCTCTCAAGATACGGCATCCCCAGTTCCGAGTACCCCAATCTGCACCAGCCAGCAAGCAATGAGCTACAGGTGATCGCGGGACCCCACCACCATCCTCACCATCACCATCATCACCACCACCACGCGCCAGCACCACTGAGAAGGTCACCAACGCGAAGATGGCCACTCCCAAGTTCAACACAAAGTCGCCGACCATCAAGCGCATATGTACGTCTGCTTCCCACTTCATTCTGGTGCTGTGACCTTTCGGGCAAAGATACGTGAGGTAGCTAACAGCCCGCGCAGTAAAAGAAGCAGCCGAGCTCACCAACTCCCCATCCCCCGAATACACCGCCTCGCCGCTCGAATCCGACCTCTTCGAATGGCACTTCACCCTGCGCGGGCCCCCAAAGTCCGCCTTTGCCGAGGGCATGTACCACGGACGCATCGTGCTGCCGCCCACCTATCCCCTGAGTCCGCCGTCATTCCGCTTCACGACGCCTAGCGGCCGCTTCGAGCCGAACCGCGAGATTTGCCTCAGCATCTCGGGCCACCACGAGGAGACGTGGCAGCCGGCGTGGGGGGTGCGCACCGCTATCGTCGCGCTGCGCACCTTCATGGAGACGGGCGCGAGCGGCCAGATCGGTGGCCTCGACACCAGCGATGCCGTGCGCACCAAGCTGGCGGCCTCCAGCAGGGCGTGGATGTGCGCTACTTGCGCCAAGAGCAATGAGGACATCATTGCCGAGTGCGAGGAGCGGTGCAAGGAGCTCGAAGCTGAGAATGGCGGCTCTTCTGGGCCCCGCGCGGAGGTTGAGGTACCTGTAGAGCTAAAGATGGGCTTCCGGGATGAGATAGAGAACGCCAAAGCAAACGCTGCGGGCGGCGATGAGGGCGCCAAGGAGGATGCCGAGAGCGCACAGCTCGCGGAGGGCTTTGTGCAGACTGTGCCTGAGAGGCTGGAGAATGCGTCTGTTCCCTTGCCGCCGATCGGAGCTGTACGGGGCGGCGGCGTGCCAGCAGCTTTCCCGCCTGCTAGACCAGCACAGGGAGTGCCGGCGCCGACGGGGAGGGTGCCGTTACCGAATTCAGCCGGACAGGTCACACCGCAAACGACGATACGGGTGGATCCAAATGCTGGGGTGCCTCCGTGGGTCGACTACGCAATCGTATCGCTGGTGGTGGTGTTGTTCGCTATGCTGTTCAAGATTATGTCGGGCTACTGAGATGGGGAATTGCAGGTTGTGACGACCATGACACGGATGGACGCATGGGAATTCGGCGTTGCAGGATAGAGGCGTACCACGTTTTGTGTGTGGTATGACACAGGCATTGATACCGATAATTGATTACTCTGGTTGTTCAGGTGGCCTTTTCAGCTTCGCTACTCATCAGTCCTGCGGTTACGCCTTATACAGGGTCTTGGAAGGCCCATTGAAAGCAGATTCCGACGGAGGCCCAGGGGTAATACCTTCGCAGTCCCTCAACCACCATCGCGCGCGGTGAAAAATCATGAGGTCGGACTGACATGTCAATTTCGCCACCTTCCTCGCAGCACTGAGAAGTAAGTCTAATCAAGAAATTGTGTGGAATGAATCATTTCGTATTGCAAATGAGACTACGGCATCTGGGTTCAAGTCTGCTGCTGTCCAGTGAGTGGCCCGTATTCCACGCTGAACGTCTGCGTCCTTGCGGAAATCTTCGTTCCACGGGCCATATGATCTCACGAGGTTATCGTCGCAATCGTCGCCGTCGCACCTGACGACGAGGCTCACAACGCGCGTCGTTCATTAGCCACGACTCGCTTTTGCGACGACCCGACACGACGGCCCCGAACCACGAAACGAGAGAGTCCCGACGCCGAACACGTTGATAGAAGGGGCTGACGATACGCATACGACCGTTCAAATCGCCGGTGAACCGCTGCCCCAGTAGTAGGGAGAGCCCGTGATCAGTCGGCGTTGAGACTGTGACCTGTTGGCGAATGAGAGGTTGGAAGCTTCGTGTCAGCTTCGTACATACGGAGCCCTGAAATACCAGACACGACGTTCTATTAAAAGGAGTGAACGCGTGGTCACGATATGGCACGCCCTGAGATTGGAGGCTTGAATTGGCTTCAGAAGCCACTTGTATGTATGTACGTACGTGTATCATTACGTATGGGTGGACTGCTTGCCACGTCCTATCGCCTTAGAAGCCACGTCCTAGACGTTGAAGACTGCTACCAACCAACCAATGAACCGACCTATGTCCCTGGCGATGAGATACAACCTGTCAGCTCTGGTCCATTTCGGAGTGAACACATCATGTCGTACATCACAGTCTTGCCCCTATTCCTTCCATTCACCCATGTATCCCCCCCAATCGTATCCCTCCTTCACTCCTTCACTCGTTCACTCTTGACGACGCCCCTGCGGCGACTGGTTGAGCACATAGTCCATAGCAGAATCATGGCTGGCACCATCCGTCGTCACGACACCAGGCTCCATCATGCTCTCCTCCATCGTGCCCTCCACGTCTGAACGGCGTGACTCAAAACCTCGTGTTGCGCCATCTCCCGCTTTCGGCGTCGAAGTGTTCGGTCACGCAGTGGGTGCCGGAGTCGGCCTCTGAGCAGGCGGAGTTGGGAACATACCACTTCCGGCCATGTTGCTCGGCTGATGAGGGCCCGCTGAACAGCGGCTGGGCTGCGGATGGTGGACTTGTCTTCCTGCCATGTTGCCGCCTGGTGGCAATCTATTCGGTCCGGGGATTGGTGTGGTGCTGTGCAGCCCCTGACGGATCTCTTGCGCCAGAGGCTGGGCCGTGGGCCGATGGAACGGAGGTAAATTCTGCATGGGTATTTCCGTTTCCGGCTGTGTCTGCGACTGACGGAGCGGCGTCGGGGTCTGGATTGGCGCGAACAAGTTCATATGCTGGCGGCCGCCTTGTGCGCCTGCGTGCTCAGTCGGCCCTGGTCCTGAATTTTGCGTTACACTATCCATCGCTCGCGGATGAAAGGATATGGCCCCTGAACTCCCATTTGCCGAATACTCGGCCGGAACTGAGACTGCCGCTCTGTTGCTCATCCCAGGATGGTGCTCTCCGTCTACGCCAGAGTGGTAGGATACGTGCGGCATCGGACTGTGCGGCATCAGCCTGTGCATCGCTGAGTTTATTGGGTCAAAAGCCGGGTCCGTGCCGGGCTGAGAACTGATGCTGTGCCGCAACGAGGATGGATGGTGCACCGTCGAGGTGTAGCCATAGGGTCCTGTTCCCGGATATGAGGGCGGTACAGGCGTGGAGCGGTACTGCTGCTGTGGCTGGGAGAGGTCAGGAGTGTACACCGGATTCCATTGGTGCGAATTGGCACCCATGTAGGCCGGGTTCGGGTGGTATGGTGAAGGAGTATGTCCTGGGCTGGGATAGTACCAGGGTGCACTATACTGAGTGACCTAGGGTGGTGGTTGCGTCCACGGCTGCGTCCATGGCTGGATTGATGGGGGTGTCGGTCCCATGTTCATAGGCGTGTATGGACGAGTAAGGCTCCGGCTTCCGCCATCAGAAGTATGATGGGGTTGATTGGGAATGGGGGGTGCAGGGAAGATATGTGATCTGGTCGTATATCCCGGGTCATGGCCTGATCTGGGGTGGTGTTCAGATGGTGGTGTTCAGAGCGGTCGTTGGACAGAGCATCTGGGGGCTGGTGCTGGTTGCGACTCGGCCTTGCCACGGGACCGTGTTGGCGTGCAGGTGCTTGATACACGACTGGATCTTGATCGGTTTCATCTTCTGCTGTAAGAGATTCCTGGTTGCTGGGCAGCTTGCGTTTCTCTTATGAATGAGCATGTGAGTCTGTGGCCTTGACCGAGATGGCGTTGGAGTGGATGAGAGCGGCTGCAGGTTGGCTCACAGACGTTCCTCCTGCCTTTCAGAGGGCTTGCAAGGGGGAAATGCCATACCAGTTGGGACATTTTGAATCTCGCCAACGTTGCCGCCGTGCTCCATAAGATCTGCAAGCTGGTCTTTGGAAAGGCGTCTGTTGATATCGTCTATGGCGGCATACAGAAAGGCACCAATGTTGGCTACTCTGTGCTCGGATATGTGTCTGAACAGTCTGGTGAACTGTTAGCTTCGGTTGAGTCAGGAGCTTCGGTTGAGTCAGGAGCTTCGTTCAGGTAGGGTCAAGAGAAACTCACCGAGATTTCATCTCGCCCAGACCGAGGCCTTTGGTGTATGCCATGCCAAGGAGGAACATGTCGGTATGAGCCCAATCGTTAGGCGGCAGCGGGACTTCATTCCGCAACAGAGCTTCACCCTCGGTGAATTCGTAGTCAATCTCGATGTGCTTCCAGAACTTGTCCATAGCAGCTGTATACTCGGCCTCCCACGAGTCATCGCGCTCGAGTATAGCCGCCGCTGCTGTCCTTGTCCAGAACCTGAGCAGACCGGCGGTGATCTGGACTCTTTCGTCGAGACTCATAGTCCCGCAGGAGTGGTCCAGGAGCTCCTGGCACACATCCCGACTTACTTGGACAATCTCGTCGCATGTATCCATGGGCATCTTCATCCCACGCTTGGCTGCATGCCGCGAGACTCTCGTCTCGAAGAATTGTCTCAATTGCAGATGCTGAGTTACACTGAGAAGTGGTGCAGGATCACCCGGTGGCTTCCCCTCGAACCTTGATAGCCATTCCTCCAGTACCTCCTGGTCGTGATAAACCAATATATGCCGTTTCACTGTAATGTATATTGTCAGTCAAGCTGTCCCAGATGATTTGGTCGATAACCACAGCTCAGTTTTGGGAAAGCAGGTGCTCGTTAACGAGCACACATTACCCCGTCCACATGGTCAAGAGTCGGCGCGGCGAAGCGAAGGATCACTCACAGTCTCTCGGTCCTTTTCCTGCCCATGGGCAGGGGTGGGCATGGCACCGCAGCGTACCATTCCTAGGGTAAAAACGTGGCTTTGGCTGGGAGTTGTCTTTCCTCCAAGCTGCATACATTTCTCGATGTTCGCTGAATACGTGCAGATGGAGCCAGGTGAGCGACCGCTCGACCGGAGCAGCATTTGGCCTTTTTTCAGCGCATATCGCGCATCGAATCTTTGTTCGTCCGGGAAGAACTGGCTTTGGACCATCTTGCTTGGGTAACTCATGCAGTGGAGCGATGGTACGGTGGTCGGTGATAGCCGTCTCGTTCTCTTCCTTTGCTTGACCGACACTCTCAGTACCGGCGTTGTCGTCGCCGTCGTCTTCACCATCGTCGTCAGCGTCGCCATTATCATCGTCGTCGTCGTCGTCGTAGTCATCAGCGTCACTGCTTTCGTGATCATGGCTTCGTACGGAGGTTACCCAAGGTGCTGAGCCGTTTCCTCCTTTGACTTCGTCCTGAAGTGCCGAACGAGTATTCGGGGGTGCGGCAACCGATGCATCTTGTGTTCCCAGGGCAGACATTCCCTCCGGGCGAGCCACCCTGTTGGTGGCTTTCTTCTTCAATTCGGGTTCACTCGCAGCTTTAGAGGACCGAGAGGCAACATCCTGAGCCCGAAGGAGGTGTTGGCGTTTTATATGACCCTGCAAGTTGCGATTGCCATGAGCAGCATACGGACAGTTGTTCTGGGGGCAGCGGAGATTCATCGGCTCATAATGCCGGTTAACGTCGTCCAGTAGCTGTGGACTTTCGCGGTACTCCGGATGATGGTCGATGATGTGTCCGTAGACGGAGCCCTCCCTGTGGTACTGGTTGGAGACACCGCAAAATGGGCAGACATAGTGGAATCCACTGGCTTCGTCACCCAATATTTCGACTCGTTTGTGGTGTCCTACACTCATGATGTCGTCTTCGCAGCGCCCAGCTGAGAAGTGCTCGCAATCGCACCAGGCTAGTCCGATTTCAAATTACTGGTGCAATGAAGGCTTATCGCTCGGTTTATCGCTCAAGGTCTGATTACTAGCTTATCCAATTCCCCTTATGGGTCCTTGTACACTCATATATCACGCTCGAGATCCTTGCAACTATTATCCTTTCTATTAGGTTACTATGAATCCTTTCACTGGTAAGGGATACCCGACAAGCCACCCAGCGGCATGAATCTCCTTAAAAGGACCCCTATAAAAGACCAAAAGGGTGCATAGGCAAACCCTCTTCAAAGCAGACATGGCCATCCCATCCGTCGATTTTTTCAACCTGCCAGCCTGCGATGGTTGCGATCTTTGACTTGGATTTCTAGGTGTTCTAGCTAAGTCAGCGTCTTTAAACCTAGCTTGGTTATAATTTCTCACATGCGGAAAAGGTGCAGGGAAAGGGTTGTAAATCTCTAAGCAGTTTATAGAACACACGAGAAAGAAAGTGTGACGGCCTGCACGGACCTTCCCACATGACAAGCCGATACCTCCCAAAAAGGGAAGGATCTGACCAGAGGACCCCTTGAAGGGACAACCTCTCGCTGTATATATCTTTCTCTCTCTTCCTTTCCTCTCTAGTCTTGATATTCTCGTCAATAGAGTAATAGCTGCTTGCTGCAGGCCATGTCCCAGCTCCCTAGTACGCTCGCCGTGACAGAAAGTACAGCAAGGTTCGGGTTGGGGCTTTCCATCCTTTTAAACCTTTTTAACGGGCAATTTAATTAAAACTAGGACTTTCTTACTTTTTTTTACGAATATGAAAAAGCCTAAGGATCTAGATCAATTTATTATAATTAGATTTTAATATGAACTTTAACGTAATAATGCTTAAAAAGAGTACCGTAACTTTTAAAGCATGGTTAAGATAAGCGCATTAGGATATCAAATCGGCAGTATATAGTAAAAAGAAGTATCTAGGTTTAATATTATTCTCGCTTTATTACTTCGAAAAGAAGTAGGCTAAAAAAGGATTAATATTTTAGCCCGTCTTATTAACTTTAAGTTTTGAGGCAAGTGGTTATACGAGAAAGTCCCTCTTATATATGACTACAGCTTTAACTTTAAGTATTAAATTTTAATCTTTAATTAAGTGTTTTTATTAACAAGATACCGTTATTAAATAAGTATAAGCCCTTATAAACTTAACTTTTAAGTTTTTATCCGCGTACCAAATAAAGTATATATATATATATAGTTCTTAAAAAAAGGCAGCTTATAAACCTAGTTTTAACTTAAAAAGCTACGTAAAACTTATAATACGTTAAAACGGCCGTTTAAAATATAAGTAAGGTTTTAATTAACTTAATAAATATCAACGAGTTATTTAAATTAACGTTAACTGTGATGGTTGCTACATCGCTACCATCGGTGATGGTCCTGGGATCACGTGACCGCACGTGACCTCCTGGACGACTGGTTGTCCCAGACCCACTAGCCCTCTGAATTGTGGGGCGGACACACTTATCTAGTTGCCCACCAGATTTGGCTGTGCCGCTCAATCTTCTTTTTCCTCTTCAGCCAGAGATAGTTTTACGTATATAGTAATAAGGGCTTCTATGTCCTATTCACATATACGGAACGTCACATTAACATCTGCGTTATTTTGATTTATTAAAACCTTTATAACCTTTATAATTAATTTAATAACGGGGGTTTTATAAGTTAACATTAACGTTAATATCGTGAGTTTTATTATTATTAAAATATATGAATTAAAGGAGGTTATATCAAGGTATTTTTACTACCTTATTATTTTTTACTATTTATCAGTATTTTATTATACCAATAAACGTTAATTACCATCAACGGAGACCCCTTATTAATATACTTAACTTAACTAAGAGACGACGAGGTCGTAAATTGTTGGATCTATGCGATTCCACATGTATAATTAGATAAGAGATTAGATACCAGATTGTGAGGTCACTTAGCCAGACCTGCGAGTCCAGCTAGACCTCCCAGTCCAACCATAAGCAACATCATGACCTTGACCCCATACTCGAGTATTATGATTGATCGTTCAAGCCTGTTCCTACATAAATAGTATTAACTCAACTTAACGAAGGGGTCCCGTTGACGTGGATTGAGTTGGTCGGGACCTTGATTATAAGATCTCTAGCACATAAGTTACCGCGCAAGTAATGCTAGAACAGACCACGTTGGTCAAGGAACATATGAAGCTTTTTTAATGCTTTATGTGAGTTACCAACGTAAAGCGCAAGAACTTCGTGTGTATAGGGAACCACTTTGAATCACGAGCTATGAGCTGCATAGCCAGGAGATGGGTTAAGAATAAGTGTCATTAAGATTCTTGCAGGTCTCATACAAGCGGCTGATCATCCTCAGATCTGAGCTCTGTCAAATCCAGAGTATTCTGAAACATGACCCGAGTGTGACAACATGGGATATCATTTCCCATGTGCAAGTTGCCAGTGGGCGTACATGTAGTAGGCCAATCCTTCAATGTGCTAAGCCCTTGCCAGTGGCCACCTCAACGTCCTTACTTGAAGTTACCATCTCTCGTTCTCTTCTTCAGTGGGGGCTCGATCGATGACTCGATCGATGACTCGAACTCTCCTTCCTCTACACTCAAGCCCAGCCTCCCTGATGGACACGACCGCCAACAGCCACCTGCATTCCACGATCTGTCACCTCTGGGCCATTCAAAGGCTGAACCGTGGCACGGCGAGCTCGAATTCCCTTAAAGGCTGCCGCTGGCAGGACAAGGTCAAGCCCACCCAAGCAATCTTCCATCTTCGCTGCAATGCCCTGAGTGTCTACCTGCGGGATATGCTCTAGGTACCTTCCAAAGATGTCAGATTAGCGGTGGAGCGCAGGAACAGTCAGGGAGGTCTATCACGTACTTGCCACGAATGTCCTCCAGCTTGCTTGGAGAGGCGTAGGCAAACCCTAGCAAGAATAAGTCGCGGTCGGCCCACAATGATGGATTATGGATGGTGCCAACGGGTACGAAGTTCTCCTCGTCATTGCCGTCTTGGGATCTGACATCTTGCAGCAGCTGCTGGACACCGTTTCCTGTCTCCATGCCTTCCGATGGTCGGGCAAGGGAGTCATCCGAAGCAGCTTTTCCATGATCCGCTCGATCTTCATGGATTCTGCCACCGAATTGCTCCTCCAAAGCCGAACCAACAGCGGTGCTCATCTCGGACCAGGCGTAACAGCAACAGACATAGTCGCTGAAGTATCAATGTGGTCGTTGGAAGCTCCGCCAATGGGCTCCTCGGGGTGATTCATGCTTCTCGGCTGCACTCCCTCTTCGTGCATGACAACTGTACATCATCAAGTTAGCGGATGGTGAACAAGAGCCACCCCTGGTACCAATCTAACCGCGGAGATCCACTGGATATGGCGGTCGGACACCCACTGGATATGGGGGCCTGGGGAGAAATAGAGACTAAGTGCGACCTACTGTCAGAAGCATTCAAATGGCCGTCTTGACCAGAATCTGGCTCGATGACGTCCTGTCCAACATCACTGGCTGCCTGGTGGCCGACGGCGTGTTCCATTTCACCACTGCCTCCATGGGGGACGGGATCAACTGTGAAAATATAGTCAGTATTCATGATCTACAATATCCCGAAGCATCTTCGATGTCGATGAAGGCCTCAAGGGTGGCATGGACAAAAAGATAACATACCCATATCTTGAATCAAATCACCCGGGGTAGGGATACATTCAGTCGGCTCCGGGCCAATCATCGCTTTCGCGCTGCCGAGGTCGTTGGTTCCAGGCTCAACGCTCTTCTCCTGAACTACCATCCCCCACCTAGTACTCGGACACCCCCACTACTCGTACAGCCAAACCCCGCATCCACCACCAAAACACCCCCTTATTCACCCACACCTAAATGAAGTCTTGTAGATCGGAAAAATTCAGCAAAATTATCATTCGATAGCGGTGGGGCTGTTTACTCGTACAAGCGTGCGGGCGCCCGAATGGCTCGCCCCGAACGGGTGTGCCTAGGCTCTTGTATGGCCTCCAAAACGGGCTCTTCAGCCGAGTCTTCGTCTTCTTCTTCTTCCTCCTCGTCCTCATCAACCACAATTTCTGGTACATCCGCAGAGACACCAGGGGTGATATTACCACCTTTACTTAGTACCTCTGTGACTGTTCTGAACTTCTTGTTAGGATTATGGATCTTCTGGCGCTTCTTTGGCCGTAGCCGTTCCAGTTCAGCCTTCAGGGCCTTGATCTTCCTGTCCTTGATAACAAGGTCGGTATCCTTAGCCTTGAACGCGGTGGTTATCTTCCCATACTTCAGCCGGGTGCCAGGGGACTTATTTTTGCCGAAATTCATGATCTGGCGGCTCGTAGTAGGGGTCCGTTGGTCCTCTGGTTCAGAGCTCTCAGGGGTCTCAGGCTCAGGGGTCTTCTGTTTCTCTTCCTGGATTTCTGGGTGCGTTAAACACTTCCTGCGGCTGATAGGATAACATCCAGTCGTTCTGAAGCCAGAGAGGATGTTTGCTTTAGTAAAAGCAGCAGCTCTGGCCTGGCTATAGCACTGAATGAAGTTGATCTTGTTAACAGGCGAGGCGTCCGTCAGAGAATTTAGCTGGGAGAGGAATTTCTGGTAGTGAGCCTTCAGGGCGTTATAGGGCCCGTTATCCAGGGGTTGCATGCCGTGACTAGTGTGCGCAGGGAAGAAACAGAGCAATATGTTGGCAAAATAACAGATGGTCATGAATTCGTCCTTATAACACGCGTTAGCCTTTATTAAATCGGGGAAAAATGAAAGAAGTCCATGTAGAATAAGGAAAAAACATATACGTATGGAGGTGTGGCTACCATGGCCATCTAGTATCAAAAGAACAGGCTCGGCCTGGTCTTTTCCTCGTACCTCGTCCACCTGCGGGATGAAGACATCTTCTAGCCACTGGCAGGCTATTTTATTCGAAGTCCAGCCGTTTTCTGAGCATATGTAATGCCAATCGGCAGTCTTTTGGAACTCCTCGATAAACCACTGCACTTGCAGGTCCTTCCCCTTAAAGATAATACCTGGTTTGAGGATTTTTCCAGTTGCGGAGATGGCCTCGATAAAGGAGGTCCAGCTATGGCTCTGGGGGCTCTTTAGGAAGGCTTTCTTAGTAATAGAATTACCCAGAACGAGAGAGTCGATGCCTGCGAAGATAATTAGAATTTCTGTGGATTTAAAAGGGTAGGTAAAGCTACCAAAACCCGCCATAATGCCGCCCTTATCGACATTATACGTGTTTTCTGGCTTTACCCAGCCGTAATCTTCCAGGATATCGAAGAACCAGTTAACTGCTTTCGGCGTAAAGCCCTCAAAGCGCGCTGATTCCATCCGCTTGCCAACTTTGGTCTTTATTTAGGGGTTGCGGCACTTGAAGCTGGCGATGAAGTTGTCTCCAAAGGGGCGTGAATCTCCGTTCTTTTTCGACACCTTCAGGATGATCTCACGCACCAGGGAGTGCGAAGGGGCTAGTCCCAGCTTCTTCTGACGTAAAATCCACTTGACTATAGTGCTCTCTTGAGCAGGGGAGAGTCTCTGTTGTTGTATATGGGCCTCGGACTTCGAGGGCTTGCCGTTGAGTCAGTCAGAGAGCGTCGTGGCAGGGATGCCGTGCTTTTGAGCGCTTTTTCGCAGCGAGAGGCCCTTATCCGTGATATCTAAGATGGCATTCGCCATGTGATCCTCCGTATACGAATAAGGAGGCATTTTTGGCGGCTGTACGATGCTGCGGTGCATACAGAACAAGGCTTCAAACGAGGCTCAAGCACTGCAAATTTCTCTATTCGGGGTAGGAAACGCGGGGTAATAGACAGCCAATCACGTAGGCCGCGCGGGGTAATTTTTGTATTGGAAGAAACTTTAAGATCAGGGCTATCTAGAGAAGTAATTACATTCTAAATAGCTTCAATATCAAGCCAAATCCGTATAAGTGAACATGTGGGAGTTTAGGTGGTGATGGTGGGGTTTGGCTGTACGAGTAGTGGGGGTGTCCGAGTACCAGGTGGGGGATGGTACCTCGGATCGTCCGCGGTTGTCGAAATCCGGGTCCAAATCCATGGCGTTGTCCGAGTCTCCATCCTAGTCGACCTCGTCGTCATCGGCTGTTGCACTTCCGGTACCATCGCCTGACAGGCCTTCTTCTCTGAGCAACGCAACACTGTCGGCTCCCAGGCTTGATGCATCGTCTTCTGGGCCAACTTCTTGGTCTCGGTCCCGAATTACCATGCGGCCTGCGCCTCTCTGGATCACGACTGACGGCCGACCGCTGCCGCCATTGTTGAGGACTGGGTGGTGGTTGTCTCCAATCGAAGGCGCGCTCTCTCGTCCATGGCCTGCTTCGACGCTCCGACCCTCGATCGACACGCTACCTGCACCGCCTTGGATGGTGGGTGGCTGGCCCCGACCGCCATTGCTGGGGGCTGCGTGTTGATTTGCTTGATCCTGGTGGTACACTCGCAAATGATGGGACAATTTTATGGGGAAGATCACCTTGTAGCTACACCACGAACACTTCATCGCTTCGTCTCGAAAGCGGCGATTGACCTCCCCTTCGAGAACCGGCTTTTGGACCAGGTCCCCTGGGTGGCAATCTCGGAGATGATCTGCATACATGTTAGAGCGCCATCTTCAATGGCCGACCCTAAGGCTCACCAAACAAGGGAAACGGAGGGAAGAGGCGAGGAGGGGGTGTGGGGTCACAAGGCGTTGACACTCACCAAGAAGGGCAGCTCGGTTCTTCTTAGTACCGTAGTAGCAGAACGGACATTGGTGGTTGTGTGGCTTGGGAGGGGCCTTTTCGTGGCATTTTCTGACATGATGCTTGAGGTAGTTCTTGGCATGGGAGGTGAAGCTGCACTTTCCACAAGGCCAAGTAATCTTCAGTGCAGACAGGTGCCTGATCTCCATATGCTCCTGGAGAATAGACTCCGCTTCCACCTGGTGGTTGCAAAGGGAGCACTGGAGGAGACCCATGTTGATTTTCAGTAGCAATCAACACTTGGCTACCGAGAGAGGATGGAACGGGAGTAAAGTTTGCGAAAATTCCTAAGAAATTGACCGAGATATATATCTTGATACCCTTGTCCCTCTACGCACTGCCAGGCAAGAAAGGCTTATGTAGAAGGAAAAGGTCAGAAGCCATAGAGAGAAATTTGTGAAAGACACTAAAGAGGCTAAAAGTTAAAGCGATAACGATAAGACGTCCTACGTACCTGGCTTTGAAAGATATGTTCCTAGTGCTAGTTACTTGTTCTAACCGTAAAAGGAAGTCAAGGTCCAGGGACAACTCGACACCAAGGATCTGAGTCCCGTTGCACCAAATGTAACTTGTTCTTTGAATTCTGTCAGAGTATTCCTTGGATCATTTCCAAGAGAGCCAAGAACTGTGTGTGACGATCAACTTCGGGCCCACAAGCAAAGCACCTTTTTGACATTATTACTAGAAACTACACAAGTCGAGTCTTTCGTACGAAGTTCATACGTGAGGGACGGCGTCTTTCAAACGGGCAGAAAATTCAGGAATGATACTCCTGTTAGCTTTTTCAAGGGCTTGGATTCAGCTAAATACCACAGACAATCGTAAGAGCCAGCTATTCTTAATACGAATATGCCAAAGAAATTGTCCCTTGTGGCTGATTGCAATTACTGTCACTGAAGCAAGGCTTCCTAAAGATGCCTCACAAGTGCCTAGATTATCCGTATATACCGGCGCAGCGAAATGTTCGAGGTAGGCACGTTTAGTAAAAGGACTTCAGAAGTGAAAACTCTTAAAAGTGACAAAGCTTTAAGAGCAGCAAGGGTTTGAATAAAACAAGACTTTAAAAGAAACAAGGCTTTAAAAGCTATGAAATTATCGAGTATCTTATATAAAAATTAAGCTAAAATTAAAGCCCTTTTTATATAGTTAAATAATCCTTTAAAGTAATTAAATAACTATAATAAACATTTATTATTTCAATTAATTAAAAGTTAATATTTACAATGTTATAAGTATGTTATAAATGCTTTAAAGCTAACGCTTTAATACATTCAGCCTTTAAAGCCATTTAAAACCTCATCCAAACTTATTATAATCTTACTAGTATTTTAATATGTAATACGCCCGTTTAAGTTAAAGAAAGAACTATTAACTAACAACCTTACCATATTATAACACGCCTTTATTAACGTATTATTGCACGCTTAAAATGTTAAAACAGTTATTAATGACTTAACATATTATAATAAAATGATAACATGTTAAAATTATTAAAAACAGTGATAAAATATAAGTATACATTTTAAAAATTAACAAGTTAGTTTAATATATAATTACGCATTGATTGGAATATTTTAACACTTTAAAGGTATCATAAAAGGGCTTTTAACGTATAATTACACGTTAGTTAAAATATTATAACACTTTTAACCACTTTAATCAACCTTAACGAGCTCTAAACGCTCGGAAAAAGTACCGAATTTCGCCTTTAATATAACTTTAATAAAAATATCTATTAACATCTCGTTAATATTAAAATACTTTAACGAAATATAGCCAGCTTAAATCTCCTAACAGATGTAATACTTTCGCACTCGTATATACTTCGTTCGGCGATAAAACTTAATATTATAAGATAAATAAATAGCTTTAAGATTGTTAAAGCGTAATTAAAAAGTATCGAAAGTATAATTAAGCTGATTTATCAGTTTTTAAAGCTAAGTGTGACGGCCTGCACAGACCTTCCTACATGACAAGCGGATACTTCCCAATAGGGGAATGATCTGACCAAAGGATCCCCATAAAGGGGCAACCTCCCACTGTACCTATCTCTCTCTCTCTCTCTTCCTTTCCTCTCTAGTCTTGATATTCTCGTTAATAGAGTAATAGCTGCTTGCTGCCGGCCATGTCCCAGCTCCTCAGTACGCTCGCCGTGACACTACGCAGCTTTTTTACAGATTCGTTAATGACGTAAAACTTTAATTTAACTATTAATTAAATTATAACAATTTAAACCTTTAAACTTATAAAATAAGGCCTTTGATAATAATGAATAAATAAATAAAGGTCGATTTAACGCCTTTTTTAACGCTATCGGCGTAGCTAGTATTGCCATGGTCTGGTACAAGTAGCCTATGTGGTGAGTCCTGGAGCCCGGACGTGAGTACATGTACCACCATTGAATGTCAAGCTGCCACGCTTGATATTCGACATCCATTTGGGAGGAACAGCCGTGGCATGGTGGTTATCGTGAGCGTTCCGTCACAAGTATTATAATATCTTAATGATATAAAAGAAATAAGCTTTTTTAGCTTATTATTAATTATTTTAACATATTGAAGGCATTTACAGCAAATATTTGAGTGTTTTATATTTTAAAAATAACGGATTTTTTTTATACCGTGATAAATTAGACGGTTTTGAGATAATAAAAGTACCGTTGTTGGATCCATGTGATTCCACAGTCAAACCATCCATACAGAACCCACATGTATAATTAGATAAGAGATTAGATACCAGATTAATAACAAATGCTTTAATAAACGCTATTACTTTTCGATAAGTAAAAAATTCGTATAATTTTAATTTTAATTCATTGTTAAAGTTAAACGAAAGCTAATTAATATATAACATTTAAAACGTTATAAATAATATCATTTTAAAAATAATAAGTTTAAAACCGTAATAATTAAAAGCTTTCTAAATAATACGTTCTTAAATTTTGTCCTTGCTTTTATACGTAGTATTGAAATATACCTTAAAAGTAGATGTTAACGAAATGATTTTAATAAACTAATTGATAAATCGATCGAAATAGTATTAAACTTATTGATAATAAATACAAATCGAAGTTTGCTATCGTTATTATTAAATTCGGTATACAAAAAACGTCTTTAAAATAACGATAGAGTTACTAATATAAATCGAATTTATTTTCTTTTAAGTTTTAAAGCTGTCTGATTAAATCTCCAAATTATCTAATATGTATTGAAATCCCTCCTCTTGCTTTTAAAAAAACAACTTCTTTAAATCGTTTTTTATTAATAATTCGCTCCTAATTATTGAATATATTATAAAAGTTTCAAAAAATATAAATTGATTATTTAAATATAACGTAATTATCTTCAAACTTAAAATAATGCATAATAATACGAAATTTCGTTATAAGTAAATAAACTTAATATTAATCGGATTTAATTAAGTAAAAATCCCGCCTCTTCTAAACATATAAAATACTTTTGTTACTTCAAACGGGCTTTTATCATAATAAATTAACCATATAATATTACGCGTTTAATAATGATTTGCTTAAATATAGCCTTTTTGCTAAATAACATCGTTATAAAGCTCTTGTTTAAAGTTAGATTTTCATGTTTAAAAAACTAAAACTAAAACTTAACCAATCGTATATAGTAAGGCTAATAATGGGTTAAAAAGGGTTTGAAAGTTCTACTTGCTTGATGATATTTTGAACAAACGAATAACTTTCGTTTAAAAATGATTTTACAATCCCGTTTTATTAAAAAGTATATAAAGCGTTTAATATAAACACAAGGCCTTTAAAGTAACCTTATTTAATAAATTTGACATATTTTATACTGTTATTTATACGAAACTTACAAAGATATTTTGTTAAAGTTTTTACGCTTATAATAAATGAAATAAATACTTAAAGTCTCGTTTGTTAAACGTAAAATAAAATTTATACTTTTAAAACTTGTTATTTATAAATAGAATAACGCGGTTGAATATATCGTGAACGTAATATTTATATGAACCTTATTGAAAGCCTAATTAAGATATTGATATTTAATTAATAATCTTATTCAATAAAAGTCTAAGGATTAAAGAATTAAATTAAATAAATCCTTTTATTTATTCTAAAATCGTTTGTGAGTAAATCGATATTTTTAATCATTTTTGCGGTTTTAACATATGCAAAACGAAAAAGCTTCATAACAACCCGTTTAACTCGTATTTAAACATTAAAGCAATCTTTTTTCCAAGTTTAGAATAGCTTAAAAAGTGTATATAATATTATAAACCTCTTTTTATAACGATTAAATAACTATTTTCATATATATCCGGTCGTAAACAACGTTATTTAAACTTTAATGAAGTCAAAAAAGCTTTTTATTATAAAATACTAGTTATCGTAATATATTGAATTGCTAGATAAAATATTAACTTATAAAGAGGAACAAAAACTATATTTTAGTTCCTTTAATTATTTATATATGTTTAAACATAATAAATTTTAACTCTATATTATTAATATTAAAATTTTTAGTTATATTTTAACTTATTATAAAAGTATTAATTTTAAAATCTATCTATAAATAAATAAACCAAACTTCTTAATTATAAACAAAGATAACAAATTTAAAGTCGAAAAGTTATGCATTAAAAGTAGTAAAGATCGTGTAAGCGTAATTTTTAAGTTTAAAAAGGAAATTTCATTCAATATTAACTTAGTTCGATTTATAAGAGATATCGTTATAAAATGTAAAATTAATTATCGTTTTTCCAAACGTATTGCTAAGGTTTTTCTTAGTTAAAAACGTTATTACAAGAATATTCCGGTATTAATTATTCTCTTATTTAATACTTTTAAAGTTAATGATAGTCCTAGTTTAACCTTTAGGTTTTTTATATATAACGAACGTTATTATTTACTTAACAGTTTACTAATTTGAATGAAAATAGCTTCGTTTACAATTGTTTTGCTATAATTAAAACATTAAATAAGCTTTTAAAATCGATTTTAAAAGCCGCTAATACCTTTTTAACCGCTTTTACAGCTTTCATTTTCGCGGCTACTTTTACGGCCTTTTTAACGCTTTTACAGCCTTTATTAACATTAATATTAATAAGAAATTAAATAAACTAATTGAAATATTTATGTTTCGCTTTTTTAGCTTCGTTAATTGAAATTTTCTTTTAAATTCAATATATACAGTTTTCAAAGATTTGGATATATTTACAGTTAAAGCCG